CCACTGTCTTACCTTTTCTGTGGGTTCTCACACCTCTCTCCCAGCTTCCTTATCTAATTTGGACTGGGGCTTAAACTGCTAGATCTGGCTGTTCATAAGCACTTTCCAAACTAGAATGAATTGGATGCTTTATTATTTCCTCCGTCTCCCATAAAAATGGCCAGCAAGCTGGGGGTGGGGGTGGGGGTAACTATAGGGTAAATGGTGGAGGTGGTTCCCCAAAATGCAATATTAATATGTGACAATGTTATCGAGCCAAAACAGGATTCCTAAAGTGTTGATCAGTTAGTTGGGGAGAAAAGATAGATACCCTGAAAAAGTAAATAATAATAAATATTGTATAACCACTGACAAAAATAGAAGAGAATATTTCACAAGATAGAACATGTTTAATTGTCAATGGAAAATTATTATAAAGGTTAAGCAGTAGTAAAAACAGCAAGCAAATAGAGATTTTGTAGTATTCCATTATTTGGATAAGCTACATTTTTGTTCATTCACCAGTCAGTGGACTTTGGGGTTATTTCCACTTTGGGGCTATTAAACTATTGCTAATGAACATTTGTGTACTAGTTTTGGGAGGTCATATATTTTCATTTCTCTTGGGCACATACTCAGTAGTAAATTTGCTGGATCGTATGGTAAGTTTATGTTTAACATTTTAAGAAACTGCCTAAATGTTTTCCAAAGTGGTTGTACCATTTTACAGTCCCATCAGCAACGTACAAGGGTTTCGGTTTCCCTACATCCTTGTTATTCTTTCTGGTTGTAGCCAGTTCAGTGGGTAAGTGATATCTCATTGTGATTTCAGTTTTCGTTTCCCTAATAACTACTCATGTTGAGTATTTTTTCATGTGGATTATTAGCCCGTTGGTACATCTTCTCGGGTGAAATGTCTATTCAAGTCGTTTTGTGATTGGGTTCTCTTGTCTTCTTATTATTCAGTTGTAAGAGCTCTTTATATGTTCTGGACACAAGGGTGTTTTTCTTTTTTTTTAGTTTGTGTTTTAGTTCAGCTTCATATAACTATAATTGGCATATAAAAATTGTAGTATACTTAAAGTGTACATTGTGGTGATTTGATAGACATGTATATAATGAAAGGATTCCCCCACCTAGTTAGTTAACAAATCCATCTCTTCACATATATATCTTTTTTGTGTAAGAACATGTAAGTTCTACTTTCTTAGCAAATTTCAATTATACAAGGCAGTGTTATCAACTATACTCACCACGTTATACATTAGATCCTCAGACCTTATTCATCTTATAGATGAAAGTTTGTACCCTTTTACCAACCTCGCCCTCTTTCCCCACCCCCCAGCCCCTGGCAACCACATTTCTACCTTCTGTTTCTATGAGTTTGACTTTTTTTAGATTCCACATGTAAGTGATACCATGCAGTAGTTGTCTTTTTATGTCTGCCTTATGTCACTTAGCATAATGCACTCAGAGTCCATCTATGTTATCACACACAGCAGAATTTCCTTGCTCGTGGCTAAATAATATTGTACATATGCACCACGTCTTCTTTATTCATTCATCCACTAATATACACTTACGAGGTTGTTTCCCTATTTTAGCTATTGTGAGTAATGCTGCAGTAAACATGGGAGTACAGATATCTCTTCAAGATCCTGTTTTCATTTTCTTTGCATATCCATCCAGAAGTGGAATTGCTGGATCATGTGGTAGTTCTACTTTTAATTTTTAAAGGAGCCCCCATACTGTTTTCCATCATGGCTGCACCAATTTCCATGCCCACCAACAGTGCACAAGGGTTCCCTTTCTTTTATGCCCTCACCAACGCTTGTTATCTCATGTCTTTTTTATGATAACCATCCTAACAGGTGTGAGGTGATATCTCACTGTAGTTTTGATTTGCATTTCCCTGATGATTAGTGATATTGAGCACCTTTTCATGTACCTGGTGGCCATTTGTATGTCTTCTTGGGAGAAAAGTCTACTTAGCTCCTCTGCCCATTTTTTAATCGGATTGTTATTTTGCTATTAAGTTGTCATGTGTTCTTTATATATTTTGGATATTAATCCCTTATCACATATATGATTTGCAAATATTTTCTCTCACTTAGTAGGTTGCCTTTTCGTTTTGTTGGTGGTTTCCTTTGCTGTGGAGAGCTTTTTAGTTTGATGGAGTCCCACTTGTGTATTTTTGCTTTTGTTACCTTTGCTTCTGGTGCCAAATCCAAAAAAAAAAAAAAAATCTTTGCAAAGACCCACAAGTTCTTTATCAGATATAATTTGTGAATAATTTTCCCAGTCCCTGGCTTATCTTCTTATTTTTCTCAGTGGTGTCTTTTTTATAATAGTTTTATTGAAATATAATTTACATACTATACAATTTACCCTTTTAAAGCATACAATTCAGTGGTTTTTCATTTATTCAGAGTTGTGCAACCATCACCACAATCCATTTTAGAATATTTTATCACCCCAAAAAAGAACTACATACACGTTAGCACTCCTTATTCCTCCCAAGCCTCCCAGCCCCAGACAACCACTAATCTACTTTCTGTCTCTATGGATTTGCCTATTCTGGACATTTCATATAATTGGAATCAAACAATATGTTGTCTTTTGTAACTGGCTTCTCTTACTTAGCGTATTTTCAAGGTTTGTCCATGTTGTAGCATCAGCACTTCCTTTTTATTGCTGAACCATATTTCAATGTAAGACTATTACATTTTGTTTAAATGATTCATCAGTTGATGGCTATTTGGATTGTTTCCACTTTCTGGTATTTTGTATAAGGCTGCTATGAACACTTGTGTACAAATTTTTGTGTAGACGTAAGTTTTCATTTCTCTTGGGTGTATACACATAGGAGCAGAATTTCTGGGTCATATTGTACTCAACATTTAACCCTTTGAGGAACTGCCAGATTATTTTCGCAAGGAGCTGCACCACTTTATGTTCCTACCAGCAGCTTATGAGGGTTCCACATCTTTGTCACCACTTGTTATCATCTGTCTTTGTTTATTATAGCCATCCTAATGGGTGTGGAGTGGTATCTCATTGTGGTTTTGATTTGCATCTCCCTGCTGGCTAATGATGTTGAGCATATTTTCATGTGCTTATTGGACACTTGTGTCATCTTTGGAGGATGTCTGTTCAGATTCTTTGCCCGCTTTTAAATTAGGTTACTGTCCTTTTATTATTTATAAGAGTTCTTTATACAAACCCCTTATCAGATATATGATTTGCAAAAACTTTCTTCCATTCTGTGAGTCGTCCTTTTACTTTCTTAAAGGTGTCCGTTGAAAAAAGTTTTTAATTTTAATGAAGTCCAATTTATGTTTTTTTCTTTTGTAGCTATGCTTTTTGTGATAGCTAAAAAGTCATTGCCTAATATTTTCTTCTAAAGAGTTTTATAGTTGTAGTTATATTTAGTATGATCCATTTTGAGTTAGTTTTTATATATAATGTGTAAGATAAGGGTCTAAGTTCATATGTATTTGTATCATGGAAAGACATAAAAAATATAAGTAATAAAAGCAAATTGCAAAGTGATACCATTCATGCAAAATTTAAGAGCATGAAATATATATTATTCATAGTTACATATGACATATAAGTAAAACGTTCCACACCAAAATCTTTGCTAATGGTTGCCTCCGAAGGGATCAGGTGAGGGGACTGGGACTGGAAAGAATTGGTGGTGAATGGGGTCTTCAGGTATATCTGCAGTGTTTTTAGGCTGAAATAAATTTGACACAGTATCAACAATTATCAATTTGGGTGGCATGTTATACTTTTTAGCTTTCTGTATTTTTTTTAATTTCTCAAACTAACACACACACACACACACACACACACACACACACACATACCCCCCCAAAGTGGGAGCTATGGAGAATAAATGGTTCCTGTGGAGTCCAGCACCCACACTGGTCGCAGCGTTGAGGTGAGGCCTTGTGCATACAGCCTGTCAACCTGTTCGGGCCAATTCTGTCTGTATGTGGGGTTTCTGAGCTAGATCCCAAACAGATAATGATCTTCATTTGAGCTCATTTGCACACTTTGGCTTATAGTTTCCCAGTTTTGCTTCCACAGAAAACCCCCGTCTATTGGCCATATTCAGTTGTTCTTATTCTGAAGGGCAGCAGAGCCCAAATCTCAATGAGCTCCCTTGAACCGGAGTTTTTCAATTTTATCCCTATTACTCCATGCTTTCTCCAAAGCTACACCAGAGGTTTCACAAGGAAAGTTCAGTTTCCACTAAACATGTGTCCGTTCTCACCTAGTCCCTGCAGGATGTCCCACAAAAGACCTCTCTGTGTGTGTTTGACATGTGCAGTGTGACAGTCTGGATGTCCCAGCTCCTGGGAAGCAGCTGCTGCCAAGCTACTGACACACTCACTCAGGCGCATGTCCCAGGCGGTCCGAAGCTGAGAGGTGCAGAGTCCACTTCTTCGCCCTTGAGGTGGAAGGGGCTATTCTAGCATCTCCCCCTGACGAGCTATGTAGCCTGACACAAAGCTCTTACTCTTGCATCGTTGTTTTTCTCCTATAAAGTGTATACAAAAATGTATGCCCTTGATACTCACAAGGTATTGTGAGGATCGAATGAGATGATGTCCATGAATGTGTTTGCAAACGAAAATGGAAGATGTTTGTGTATTATTCCCAACTGTGTGACCCCAACCCCTCCCACGTCCTTGACCCAGCTACTCTACGGGGCCTGTCTCCCGGAAGGGCCTCCCTGTGCTAGCCTCTGCTTTCCCTCCCACTTTCAGTCTGTTCTGACAGGGTTCTCTCTCCCTCCTCCCCTTTTGTCCTCTCCCTTTCTTGTTTCTGTTTCTTCCCCTCTCCAGGCCTGGAGGCAGCCTGACTCCCTTTCACACGCAATCATGCAGTGCATCGTACCACTGAGCTGAACCCTGTCGCTGTCTCAGATTGACTAAGAAAAAGGACTTTTCCCCTTCTTGAAAGACATAAGATACCTGAGATACCATATTTTTTCTCTTTGATTCTCCCAGGCTCAGGCCACAGGATCGCCACATACATCACCCACTCGTGGAGGCAGCCACCCGATGCCCATGCCCATGCGCTCCACATCCGCTGGCTCCACGCCCACTCACTGTCCGCAGGACCCACTGAGCGGCGTCGGGGGGGACATGCAGGAGGCCTTTGCACAAGGTGAGTTTTGGGAGCAGAGTGTAATGGAGAGTCCAAGGGGTTTGGAGGCATAGTCAAGATTCTCACTGAGATGTTTTCAGCTTCTTGTCTTCTGTGCACTTAGTTTTAAATGATCAGATTTTTATATACAGTATAAATAAGTCAGGCGCTGGCCCGTTTTCATTAGACGGGCTGGTCTCCAACAGGAGGTCCGTAGGCTTGGTGTGTGTGCGAAGAACGGGCCTCCTGGGCTTCTGTGCTCTTTCTTGCAGGTTGTGAGAAGTGCCTTGTCCTTTGGGCTTTGCTTCCTCCAGAGGAATTGGATGGACTAAATCCCAGAAATCATGTGCTTGCCCTGGAAATTCTTTACAGGGAGCAAGAGGAGGAAGACTAGAACTCTAAATAGGACCTTGCTGAAGGCACACTGAGCATGGCATTGCCACCGCTGTCTGGGGAGCTAGTGACGAGCAGTGTTACGTGGTTGGGGGCAGATGTAGTTGGGGAAATGAGGCGGCTGAGGAAGTATTGTTGGGGTGGAGACAAAAGCCAGGGAGGCAGTAATGCTGGAGTGGGAAGTCCTGCCTGAGGCCGAGGAGCCCTGGGCTCAGTATTTGTTCTGGAACCCAGCTCTTTGGATTGTGGCTAAGAAGTGTGGAGTTGACAGGGTCCTGCTCTTCAGGTAGAGCAGAGGGAGGAGAACCATGGACTTGGGCACCCTGTGCTCCTGACGTGCCTGGGCGCTGTGGGGCTGCTGCAGCCCCATCTCCCCTTAAGTATTCTGCCCTGTGTCCGAACGCCTGGCAGACGGAGCTATTTTCTCCGCTCTCCCTTCTGCACGCCCACCCACCTGGCATCACCATCTGCTCTCACTCTTCTCAGGTACGAGGAGAAACCTCCGCAATGACCTGCTGGTGGCTGCTGACTCCATCACCAACACCATGTCATCCCTGGTGAAGGAGCTCCACTCAGGTGAAGCCCAGAGCGCCCACCCACGCCCTGCTCACCTCCTCCCCACGGGGTGAAACGCCCTCACAGAGCACACGCCGCCTCATTTCACCACTCAGTCTTTTTGCCTTCTAGGAACACACTGGATGTCTTCACCCAGAGCGCCCTCTCCCACGCGCGATCACATAGAGATCCTTCCACAGTTCGGTTTCTCTTAAGAGTACACCTTGTGGAGCAAACACCACTCAGCATTTAAAGAGATTCCGATCTCTCAGCACAGCGAGGCCCCCTGCTCACTTAATGTGTCTTCCCCCTGTGCCCCACCCAGCTGCTCTCTCCCCAGGCCTGACCGACCAGCTCGCTCTGGACTTTTCCTGGATGACTGCAACCGAAGCAGCCACAAAAGCTCCTGGACTTTCTCCCAGCTGCCTTTCTGCTCTCTCCTGTTTGATTTGGTCTTGAAACCCTATTCTCTCCTTTTGTCCATGACTAGGCTCTGATTTCACCTGAAGTTCATGACCTGTGTCTGTTGCTTCCTTCCCTCCTCCTGTTCAGCCTCATCTATGACTCCTTTCTCAGTCTCGCCTTCACATAGCTCTTTCAGCGATTTTCCCAGAGGCCCTTACCTCATTGCATTTCCCCCCTTCTATAAAACCTAAGAAAGAGAGAAAAAAATTAAAGGCCATTTCCATATCATCATGTCGTATTAAGAATCCCTGTGACTCCATCCATTTTGTAGCTGCCAGATATGTACTAATTTTTCCCCCCCCAGTGGTCAGATTCCCACGTTAACATATTAAAACACGTGGGTTCCTTTCCTACGTGCTATAGGTCATTCATACAGACGGCCCCTGTTTGTTTCTTTTCACTTAATGTAGTGCTTTTAAATGCCTTGAAGTAGCTTAACAAGATTATTAAATAAAAATATAAATCAATTTTTCCATGAACTATTCAAACACATACATTCAAATCGTCAGTCCCTGCTCCTAGGGAAGGCAAGCCTTGGGTCGCTCTGCGGACCACCGTGGGATGAAGCACACACCTGTAGTGTTGTCACGGGACCAGATCAGGCTCTGGCTCGTGGCTTTGCTGTCAGATCTGCCTGTTTTCATTTAGAAGGGAAAAAGTGTGAGGCCTGGGTTCGTTTTTCCAATACATTTAAGATGCCGATTGTCCTGTGCAGGGAGTGTTATGGTGACACTGTCCCCATTTCGGTACCATTTCTTAGTCCCCTTCATAAGCACTGCCCCCTCCATACACACAGAAGAGTTGACTGCCTTCGAGGTGACTTCACAACTGATTAGAAAGTGCCTTCCCTAATACAGCTCCTCACAGATGCCAGAAATCCCACATTTAGAGGGACTTTCTTAGGGGATTTCAGGTCATGGAATTAACCACACTGGTGCCTCGTGGCCACTTACTAGGGTTTATGCAAAATAAGTGGCTCATGAAGTCATCACACTAGGATGAGAGCTAACTGGACATCATTAACACAAAGTGCAGACCAAATAGCTTCACAAAAACTACAAGTTTAGGGAGATCCTTGGCAATCTCTCATAGTAAGAAAGGATGGGTTTTTAAAAATCAGCATGATGTATTGGGAAGGCACCTTAGAGACCACATTGTCCGGTTCCCTTACTTTAGAAATGCAGTGAGTGATTACCAGAAACGTGATTTGCCTAAAGCTGTGTAGCTCGAAGGGGCAAAACTGGCCCTACAATTTCGGTCTTAGGAACATTAAGCTGACGCCCTTACACTCATCCCCACATAGGACAAGATTCAAATCTGCAGTACCAGGAGGGCCCCTTTCACTCATGCTCTACTCTCAAGCGCTGAAGTCCATAAGTAGGCGTGGACTAAGGCCACACATGGCACAGTATCTCTATAAAATGCAGAAATAAGCTCCCTTTCCACGTGAGCACGCCAGTTTCTCAGTGAATGAAAGAGCCTTAACCCAACACCAACACATTACTCTCTCTGTGGAGGTTTCTGTTGGGATGAGATTAGATATTCAAATTATCTTTACATATATTCTATACAGTATGGACATACCACTTATAACCCTAGCTTGCCCTCCTCTTTGAAATATTTTCACAAATAATGGACTCATAGAGTTGGGTAGGGTCTTAGAAGTCCTTTACTCCAGCTTGCCTCCCGATATAAAAGTCCTCTGGTTGAAGACTCCTGGTGAGCTCATTCATTGGGAAGGTCTCCCTTATCAGGGAGCTGCAATCTGCCTTCCTGTAACCAGTTGATCCTCATTCAACCCTCTAAAGCTACACAGAGTAAGTTCAATCCTCCTCTTTATGTTGCCTTTCAAGTATTTGATGGCAAACAGCATGGCTCTCCCTCAGCCTTCTCCTCTTTAGGCAACTCTTTGCAGTGTCTTCAGCCATTCCTAATGGGATGTGGTTTTCAGTTTACCATCCTGCTTGCCCACACCGGGATGCAGCCGAGTGTTTCAAAGCCCCAACTCAAAGTGAGTTCCCAGGGCTGAGCACACTTCTCCTTATCACGGAAGTCTTGTCCCTGCAGAGCACAGTGACCGTGACTCCCCTGAGCAGGCCCCTTCAAGAGCAACCTTAGATGGCATTCGTTTTTCCCCCACATAGCCACCTTGCTCTGTTCAGTCATTTTAAGATTGTTATCGGCTAAAGCCTCTAGTTGTTGGTTTGTTTTTACAGAAGACAGTTAACGTAGGTATTCCTCGCCGTGCATTTTATGGTCACTTCCTTTAACCTGACTGTAAGATATTAGATGTATCCCAGGTAGCTATAATCACCTTAGGGAAAACAGGCGTAGAGAAGAGGCAGCCACCCTCGCCCCAGTCACCAGGGAAACCAGCAGCAGGGTAGGTGACATCAGACTGCTCTGCGTCTTGAGCTCAGGTCCAGTGCTGGGGTCTGGACCACACGGTGCAGACTAGGTGAGTGTAACAACCTTGGAGGCTGTAGCCATGAGCCTTTAGTTAGGGCTTCATCCCAAGCCTCCCGAGTTCCTCCCTTCACCCCCCTTCTGTGCTTGTCCTGTGCTGAAGGGTCACAGGCCTCCTTGGACTTGTTTTCACAGCAGAGGAAGGTGCAGAGGAAGAAGAAGAGAAGATGCAGAATGGGAAAGACAGAGGTAAAGGCAGCTGGCCAGGACCCCTAGTTTGAATGGGAGTCAGAGCTATCTAGCCTTGGAATGAAATCCCCTTCTCCCTTTTGTTTCTGCTTTCCTTCCTGTTGCCCCTTTCCCCAAAGCTTTCAAATTCCCACAGTTCCTTCTACCTGCTATTCCCAATGGACCGTCAAGTTTTTCCATAGAGGTGGTAGTGTCAGTGGATCAACAAAGCTTCCTGATTTCTGATACTATGATAGACAGCTGGGATACAGGAAGTAGATACAAGTAAAACAAAACATGACCCATCACCTCAAGGAGTTTATAATATAGTTAGGAAAGCAAGACTAAAATATGCAAAATAAATAGGAGATAAAACAAAGTGGCAGGAAAAGTTAGTTATCAGACTTTGAATATATGATTATAAATACAAGAAGGGAGTCTGAAAAGGAAGAGGTTATTGTAGGCAGAATAGCCAAATGGTTTTGTGGCTTCAAAGAAGAATGAAAAGCAATGAGGACAGGTATCAGCAAAGGAGAGTGCAGGCAGACCTTGGAAATATTGCAGGTTTGGTTCCAGACCACCACAATAAAGCAAGCATTGCAATAAAGTGAGTCGTAATCTTTTTGCTGGTGGAGGGTCTGGCCTTCAATTTGTAAAAATCACAGTATCTGTAAAGCACAATAAAGCAAAGTGCAATAAAACAAGGTCTGCCTGTAATGCCTCCCTAGTTTTATCATATATAAACCTCCTTAATACTTGCTATGTATGAAGAGCTGTGCTAAATGATTTCCACATACAATCTCATTTACTCCTTAACAACCCAGCGAGATATATATTCCCATTTGCCAATGAGGCAATAGGCTCAGAGAAATTTAGGTCATGTCGCTATTAAGTAGCGGATATTGGGTTTGAACTGGGTCTTTCTGACTCCAAACTTCATGTTAGAACCGTGCCTGGCGCATAGTGGGATCTCAATAAATTAACAAATCTAAGGAAATAAACAGGATGATATGCTCTATAGAGAGAGCATGTTGTCAGGGAGAGAGATGGAGTGCTGTCCCGAGGCAGTGAAGGCATGGAAGGTCCCTGCTGGCCGCTCTGCACTTAACACCCCCTCCTGTTTGATTTCACAGCCCTGTGAGGGAAAGATTCTAGACAAGGCTCAAGGTGGTTAAAGAACTTGCACAGGTAGCAAGTGGCAGAACCTGGATTTGGCCCAGGTGTCTCTACCTCCAACGCCCGTGCTTTCATTTGAGCAGACTGGTAGACTAAGTGAAGTGAAGAAAGAAAGGATGGGAAGATATCAGAACAGGCAGGGAATCTGAGATAGGAAAGAGGGAACATCGTGAAATGGGGGAGTCTGCAGTGTTGTTTGCACCCATAGGGGGCGAGTGTGGATAAGAGAGGGAGGGCTTTGGAGTCTGTCAGCAAGGGCACTGAAATTGCCAAAGAATCTGGGAGAGGAGGAAAAGCGTCCCTCAGGTGCTGAAATCATCCAGTGAGCCAGACCAAGGCCTAGGGGAAAGCAGACAAGAGCTGTGATGAACTGATGAGAATGACATATTTGGCATGGATGTCAAAAGGTCATAAGTAGAGGGCAGTGGTGTTTGAAACATCCAGAAATGCTACAAACAAAGGTAGGGAGGCCTGCCTTTCCTGTGCCGATAGGAGACTGGAAGAAGGCAGGAGTGTTGTAGTGCAAGAGGTGAAGAGGAGCTACACAGAGATAAATTTACACTTATGTAAACACATGCTCCAAACACAAGCACTCACGCACACACACAATCCAACCAGATCCTGGCATCCACGTGGAATGTTCTTGGCTGCAGATGTAACAGCTGCTGCTTTGGCCTCCCTTCCCATATTCCCCTCCCTTCCCCAATAGCTTTTCCCATGGCCTCTCCTCAGCCTCCCTTCACTCCCCCGAAGCACACAGGGGACGCTGTCCTAACCACTGGGGCCTCTTCCTGACCATGGACACCAGCCCTGAGTCCTGGTTCAAGGCTGCCTCCCACATATGGCCCGGGGATGGTTTCCTTTGCCTGGTGTCTCCTGGCCTTGGGAGCCCTGTGTCTTTACACCTGTGTTGCCCTATCAGCATCTCTTCTCTGTCCCTCTTGCTCTTAGTGTCCCCTCATGTCTCTTGCAGGGCATATATCCGAGTTGCTGTATGTCTATGTGAAATCTTTTTGTGCGAATGCCTGAATTTCTGTTTCTGTGGCTTTTAGGTATTATCCCCAAGGGGAAGAGTGATAAGAGTTAGGGTGAAAGATGGATAGGGTTTTTTTAAAAAGTTTGTCTTTCAACATTATAAAAGTCCTAGGATATGTCTCTGTAACTAACATGTAGCTGTTAATTGGGTGTCGTTCTAAAACCAAGTTTTTTTAATGGACCAACCGGATTCTCTGCCATGATCTGGGCATGAGATTTTCCTATAGACTGACATTGCAGTCGCTCCTGTCACATAGGCATTAGAGAGCAGTAACTATCTATTAACCATAAAGAGAGAAGAGATTTGCTTCTTTAGGGTTGAAATCATGCTGACATAATATAAACACAACTTGGTCAGCACCCTGTCAGGCAGACAAAGCTCAATGCAAAACCCTTGAGAACCAAATGGACACTTCTGAACTGAAGAGTTCATGGCTGAAATGGACTTCACAGCCACATTCGCCCCCAGGATTCTCCCTGCTCCACCTTGGCTGTCTGTCTGGCTGTATCCTGGGGCACGCTTCTGCTCTGTTGGGGTACCGTTCCTATTTTGCATCCTCTCACTCCTCACCTGAAGTGGTGAGTGCTTGTACCCAAGACTACACAGATGAAACAGACGAAAAGAACCTCCCACACTCCTATTACTTCAGAGCCTCATTTTATGCTCTTGTATTCTTCACAATCGCCCCTCCCAGAACCTGCCATCCATGGTGCTGGGAGCTGTGCGTCAGTTTGCACACTTACAGAACACCGCTGCGTGTCTGGTAGACTGGTGGCCGTGGCCCTCTGCGAGGACAGACACAGGTGTTAGAGGAGCCAGGCAGTGTTCATGGTTCCAGGGTGAACGAGAGTGATCTAGCATCCCAAGCAGATCTGTGTGCAGGAAGGAAATACTGCCCTATCAAAGGCTAATTCATTTCACCCTGTTTACTTTCAAGACCTGTACCCTGTGCCTCCCTGATGTAAATGCTCCCTACTTTTAAGGTGGCTTTGTTGCCTTTTAGTATTAGTATTGCCTTCTCCTGAGAGGCACTTGTCTCCGTGGCTGTTTTATGTCGGTTGCAGGTGCTGGTTATAGGTAGTACGACCCTCCCCCATTTTCATTCCTGGCCTACAAGGGACAAGGGGAGAGGCAAGTCCAGAAGCCCCGGGGTGCAGGGGTCAGGGAGGCCCCTGGGAGAAGATGCAGGGTGGTGAGAGGACCCAGGTGTGACCTCGGTGTGTTGTTTGTGTCTGCTGCACAGGTTAGCAGAGGAGCCAGGAGAGCGGAGGAGCGGTGAGTACAGAGCGCTGTCTGCTTCCCCACGGCCCTTTCCCTTCTTGTTTAAGGTCTGTATTTCCCTCCTCTCCCTCCCCAGTCACACCTCCAAGCCCAAGTCAGGTTTCCTTTAAAGAGCCCACCTGCACCTCCTCCCTTTGCCCAGCCCCACCAGCATGCTCACTTATTTGCCCTGGGGTCCAGGCCCTGACCTCTCTTGTGCTGGGCCTGGGTCTGGGCCTCAGGCAGGACTTGGTGTCACCTGTGTTGGGATGCCATTGACAGACCAGAATCCGTTAGCTGAGCAGTCTCTGGGATCAGGCCTCAGAGACCAGCTGAGAGCCACCCACATCCTGGGGCTTCTTCTGCCTCCTGGTTTCTGCTTTCCTGAGGCCAGTGTCATTTCTCTCTGGGGACCCAAACCACAGCCAGCATGTCCCTGAGGTTCCATCATCCAGAGCTGTAACCTTGCTGCAGTTCCTCACCAGACACCTATTTCTGTCACGCAGGATCACCCTGTCTCTGTAACGCCAACCAAGCCATTTCCCGTGGCACCTGGCCAAGTTGCACCTTCTCACTTCCTAAAAATATTTTTTAAAGTACAGGTTTCCCCACAGGCAAATACCCATTGCCTTTAGGAATGAGTCCTTCACATTCTTCCATCTCAGGACTTTAACTCTTACCTAGTTCCATTTCCAAGATATTGCAGTTTCTGAGCATGCTTGCTAAAAGGAAGGGACGAAAGTAATTGGACAGCCAGTCTGTTCCAGAGAAGAGTTATGTCAAGCATGAGATGCCTTTCGTGCAGCCTTGAGATTTCTCTTTAGTTTTCAGTGTTTTTTTCCCTCCCCTTCCCCACTTCTTGTGTTTAAAAGTTAGGCCATCTTCCTTAGTTACAAATCTTCCAGGCAGGAAAGCCAGGGCTGCAGCCCATGATCCAGAAAAGAAACTTTCCCAACCTTTCCAAGTAGTGTCATCCTGGAGCAGCTTTCGGGCCATTTCCTGGCACCCCCGGCCCCCAGCTGCACCGGGCCCTTGAAGGGCTCTGTTCTGCTGGCACCCTGGGACCTGCCGTCTGTGAGCCTGCACTGAGTCAGGGACCCTGCAGGCTACGGATGGGCAGCACCCAAGCTGCAGAAATTCTGCTGCCCTGGAAATCACAGAGCCTCCAGGGCTTGGGCAGGCTTTTACCTAAACTCCCTGCACATTCAGGCAGGGCCCTTCCCAACAGCAGCCCTAGGCTGCCCCATCCGCTAGGGAGTCAGGAGCTGACTTGTCTTCAGGAGCCTGCCAGAGCCCCTTTCCCCAGGGCACAGGAACTGGGGGACAAGGAAAGGCAAGTCGGAGCCATCTGGCTACCTCCTCTTCCTGCGGATGAGGAAACCAAGGCCCACGTCCCAGGAGCTTGGTGCCAGAACTGTTGGGTCCTCGGGAAAGTCATGACGCATTTTTGCATTGAAAAACAGCAAAATACGTCATGACTTTCCCCACGACCCAATAGAATTGGAGCTGGGTCATTTTCTCCTAAGGCTGTCCCCTAATCCT